CCATAATGCCCAGCCATTTTTTGGCTGTAGTTGTCATTGCTGTTTGGCAGGCCCAGGCTGGATTTGAACCCGCTAGCTCTGGTGTATGTGGCTGGCACTTTAGCTGCTTGAGCTACAGGCGCCAAGCTAAAATCATTAATCAAAGTACTTTCACCTTTTGCAAAGACTTGGAACTATATCCCAGGGTGGAGGAAAAAGCTTTCTTTTTAATTAACGAACTTGGAAGTTGTCACAATTTTATAGCTTGTAGATTGGCATTATGAATCAAAGATTCCTTGTCTAGTATTTTTTTTCTTTTCTTCTGGGGACTGGGTGTTTACATATCACCCAGGATAGAGTGCAATAGTGTCACCATCATTTGAGGTGCTACAGCCTCAAATTCCTGGACTCAAGCTCTCCTCCTATCTTAGCATCCTGAATAGCTGGGACTACAGGCATATGCCATCATGCTTGGCTAATTTTTCTATCTTTTGTACAGATTGGATCTCACTCAGGCTGGTCTTGAACTTCTGGCCTCAAGTGATCCCAAAGTGTTAGGATTATAGGTGTGAGCCACTGTGCCTGGCCTCCTTGTCTGGTATTCTTGATGGTCAATGTTCCTTGCAATTTGTAGACAGATGGCACCTTAATCCAGATAGCTTTTTTTCCTATTGGGAAACCTATCACATTGTTTCTAAAACTTTTCTGAAATGGGTTGGATTCAGCTATTATTTCTTCCTGCATCTGTGAACCTCATCTTTTTATAGCTCTTCAGGAAACGTATAATACCTAGCTTAAGCTTAAGAAAAGCAGTTTAAATGGGAAGTAGTTTTATAGAATTGTCTTTCATTCAAGTAATTGCTGTTTCCTATTCTGTAACTCCTAGCCCAGGGAGAGCAAAGCTTTTTACCTTGATCACCAAAGCAGACTTATTTTGTGCTTTTATTTGTTGTGGTGGTTTCTCCCAGCCCACTAGCACTTAGTTTATAATCTATAACACTATATATTAGGGGTATTGCTACCTAATGTTTTATAAAATAAAATGAATACCCTAAAACTATATGTATTTTAAAGGAAGAAAGTTATTTCAGATTTACTGACATTTATGTTAGGTTCATTTCTACCTCCTGTTTCTTAAGGAAGAAAAGCCACATTTATTTGTTCCTTAGTAGTATTCTGTTTCCTGAGGTTCTTGGGTACTAGCAATTATGATTCCATGATATTTTACCTGTAACTCTATAAACTGAAATGCTCTGAAACCAAAAGATTTGTCCTTATATGGTGGCTTACCTAGATCTGAGCTGACATGTGGCTGTTTGCCGCTTTACTTATCCAAGTTGTTGGGAATTGTCCATACATTTCACTGAAGAAATAATAATGCTCAAGTAAGTAGATCCTTCTAAGAGTATGAACTTAATATTAATGTAGTATATGTACCATCTTACCTTTCTAAAATCTGGGAGACACTCAAGTTCTGAAAGCTGGACCATAGGAGTTTTGGATGAGGAATTGTAAATCTGCACTCTGGTGCTCTCTTTATCAATTTTATTTCTTATTATGTGTACTGTGGGTCTGAGTGTGGAAGTAGGAAAGTAGCCTCTATAGTGACAAGAGTGTGGGGCTTAGGGTCAGACAGACCTGATATAATGACCTTTCTCAGTTTTGGTTTTGTCTTTTGTCACATAAGTTCAGTGATGCTGCTCTCAGAGTTGATGGTAGTAATTAGAAAAGATAGTATAATTATTGATGAAAATTAGTTTCTTTGCTTTTTATGGTCTTAGCCTCACAGAGAGCTTATAAAACTAAAGCTTTGTTACTTTATTATCTAACAATTCCTGCCTTAAGAAAATAGAACCTAGCAGGGTAACCATGGTTTTATTCCATCTGTTTTGCAAAACAGTATTCATTTCCTCCTTTTTGGTGTCTGTCTTTGGCCCCAGGGGAGCATGTAACATCGAGGTTTAAAAACGAGGTGGAGAGGATGGGTTTTGATATGAACAACGCCTGGAGGATTTCTAACATCAATGAGAAATACAAGTAAGTAATATACAAGTCCCTGTGGACTGTGTTTCATAGCCAGTGCCTTTGCAGAAACCCTAGTTCTTGTGTGACAGAACATTTGAACTTGGGCTTTTTCCTGTGAAAAGGAGTTATGTTTATTAAGTGTAACTGCGTGATCTTCAGACTACTTCTTGAACCTTGCTATCATTGGAGTAGAAGGTGATCCTTACTTAACAGGATCCTGGAACCTTCCTTTCTACCCACTCCAAGCCTCTGTTCTCCCTGGCATATATATGCCTAGTTAATACTGTGTTTACTTGTAGGCTGTTTAGGAGACAGGAGGTAGAAATGAACCTAACATAAACATCAGGCGTCCAGTTTCCATTATTCTTATCAACACTTAGCGGCACATTAAAGATAAGTTTAGTGATCTTATAAGCAGTGACAAAACACTTAGGTGTTTTTATGACTGTAATTTTATACCAGATTCTAGGAAATAAACATAAGACAGATTGAGTATCAGCTATCTGAAATACTTTGTATCTTTGAGTTTACTAGCCTGTGGGATGTTGAATGTTCATACTGCAAAGGAAAAAAGTGAGTATAAAACAAAAGAAACATATATACGTAGCTCTGATATGAGACTTTTTGGGATTTTGGACTATTTGCATATACATAATGAGGTTTCTTGGGGATGGGACCCAAGTCTAAATACAAAATTCATTTACGTCTCATATATACCTTACCTGAAGGTAATTATATGTAATTTTTTAAATTTGTACATGAAATAGCCTTTTGACTGACTCATCACATGAGGTCAGGTATAAGGTTTTCCATTTGTGGCATTATGCTCATTAGTTTCAAATTTTGGAAGTTTTAGATTAGAGATGCTCAACCTGTATTACTCTGTTCTTTAATATGTTGGTCTAAAACCGGCTTCACAGCTGTGATCATTTAACCATTAAATATTAATATAACCATTATTACCTATTTCATTTAAAACATAAGTGCTTTGGTGGGGAAGAGCAGTTAACTACTGTGATTTCTGGGATCCAACTTGTTTTTTTTTTTGAGCCAGAATCTGACTTTGTTGCCCTCAATAGAGTGATGTGGCGTCATAGCTCACAGCATCCTCCAACTCTTGGGCTCGAGTAATTCTCTTGCCTTAGCCTCACAAGTAGCTGGGACTGTAGGCACCTGTCACAGTGCCTGGCTATTTTTAGAGACCAAGTCTTGCTGTGGATCAGGCTGGTCTTGAACCTGTGAGTTCAGGCAATCCACCTGCCTCGCCTCCCAGAGTGCTAAGATTACAGGTTTGAGCTACTGTTCCTGGCTGGGAACCAAGTTTTTTTTTTTTTGAGACAGAGCCTCAAGCTGTCCCCTTGGGTAGAGTGCTGTGGCATCACAGCTCATAGCAACCTCCAACTCCTGGGCT